TTCCCTAAAGAAAGAAAAATCATTGACTGCATTAGTTTAACTTCTACAACATCTGCATGTAATGAAGAAATCTTTGGAAGTAGAAGATATTTTTTAATTTTGAGTATGCAGTTAATAACGGTTGCCAAAAATATCATAACTAATGTGCCAGTGTAGTACCCAGGATCTACCCATGGTGCTTGCTTTTTCCAGATGTCTGAATTCATCCAATTTGTTAATTGTGCCCAAGAAACTTGACACAGTTACACACTAACTAAAGAATTAGATTATGTCACAGGTGTTCACACAGAAACTTAACAGTCTTATGAAAAAGGGTGGATATAGAGATGCAAAGAGTAGGAATAAAGGCTACACAAAAATGAGCATTATTTTTTCCCACTTCATAGTTGCTTCAGTTACAAAAAGAAACTGGGTAAACAAATACTCTCATTGCACACTGACATTTAAACACTTTCTTTTCCAGTCCACTCAAGATGTGAAAGAACTTTTTTTTTAATTGGGTGATTAATCAAATTATGACAATACCAAGTACATACATGTGTGTATATATATATATAAATCAATACATACATATATATACACACACGCTCCATACTGCAGTACATACTGAATAGTTACTGAACAAGTAGTACCACATTCCCCACTCCCAGTTCTTGAAGATGGGATGAGTTGTGGTTTTCTCCAAGATTGCTTCTGAGCTCTTCACAAACCTTCTATGTTGTTTTACTGGAACAAGCTAAATTTTGCTTCATGCTCAGCCTGTGGCTGATGGAGATCATTTTACATACTTCTCCTTTTTATGTCAGTAAGGAATGAGGTTCATCTTGTTATCATATGCATTTCACAGACAGAGACAGTTTCAGGTCAAGTTAAAGCCACGAGTATGACTTTTTTTGTGCTGCCTTAAGCGTCTCTGACTAAAGCCTGGGTTTCCCTAGGTTTTATTCCACTGTTTCTGGACCTAAATGACCATTATGGCAAACAGAGACAGCTGGAAAATAGCAGGATGCAAGTTATGCCCAGCTTTTAGGCATTGTCAGTCTCATGGTTAAGAGAGTGGATAGCTACCTTAGTGCTTGTGTTCACTTTTGCAATCTTCCCAGTTCAGAAGCATTCTCACTGAGCTCATTTCAGGCTCTTCTATTTGAACAATGGGAGGAAAAGCATGAAAATGAATTTGTTTCAACCTATTTCTACAACATTTAGTTTTCTCCTCACTGCTTCTCATTTTACTTTAGAGATCTCAGTTTTGTCTTATGAATGAATAACTACGAATCCAGGGTAGAGGAATGAAAGACACGCAGTGAAACACAAAAGATTCTTAGAGTCTGTAGGGTTGATTCTAAAGAAAGAAGTTTTAGTTATTCTTGTAGAGGCTATTTAAAATCACTGATAATTGTATTTAAACAGGAGGAAACCAAAATGAAAAATAACAGATAAACTTCTAAGTGTAACACCTTCATGTAACACAGTACAGCCTAAGGTGCACCTGATGAACACAGTTTTTTACAAAGTACATTTAAGCAGAAGGAAAAAGGCTGGTTTTAAAGCTTTAACAATCTTATCACAGGAACACTGTTTATTAATTTTTACGATCAAGTATCTCTGCGTGTATTAGGAGGAGCCCTGCTTTTCATGTATATTATTTTCTGGTATTTTCCCTGATAGAGCATAGCAGTGTTTAAAGGATTGTTTATATAGATGAGGGAACTTTAAATCATGTGACTGGATATGACACCAGTTTTACAAATTAGACAAATAGACTCATGCAGTAAAATTCACACCAGGGATAGATTCCAGTTTCCAATGCTCCTAAAATATAATGTATGCTCCGTGTTTTGCAAACATGGAACAGCTGCATTCCTTAGAAAGACAACCACCAACTACAAGATATAAAATAAGGTTAAAGCAAAGATTTTGAAAATTTATAAGGAAAAAATTTCAGCCCTTCTAGTAGTTTAATATAGTGTTATTTAAGATAAACTTGACAACATGTTGAAATTGGTAAGACCAACACTGCCCTGAAGAGATTGCAGAGCTGATAATGAAGCAAACTCACAAAGCATGGAAACATTCCTGTTAAGGAGGTACTAGGTCCTGCCACTATCACTAAGGTAAGCAGTACTTTGAAAGCAGATCTACAGAACCAGTCAGTGCTTTTACTGACTTCATTATTACTGGAGCAGCAGAACTTGTACCCCAAGGTATGGAATTATTATGTACTGAAGTAATAAAAACTGAGAGATTGCAGCTGGCTTTTACAGAAGATAATAGGCTTACAGACTTATGCTTAGTTCTCTTTGACACAAAAGGGAATATTTGGCATGACCAAACATTAAAAGAATACTTATAAAAAGAATTTCTTTATCAAACAGTGTGTACACTCGTAAGAGATAATTCACCATGTTTCAAAGAATGATGATGCAGAATACAGGACTACAGAGAATATAATTTACAATATAATTAAAGCTTCAGTGTACTGAGCAACTCAACATTCTGCCAAAATCAGTATTTTTGAAATACTGAGAAATAATCAGGGACTGTGATGACACCAGAGGAAAATGCAGGAAACAGATCAGAGTTGTGATGAAAGTTGTAACTTATGGTAGATTGATATTCCTTTACTGGAGGAGGAATGACTCTCAATAGAAAAATTGTGCCTGAATAGTAAGAGAAGCAGAAAACTGTAGCCTGAAAGTAGTTTCTTGGAACACAGAGGAACAATTGCAGCACAGAAAGGGAAATCCATAAAAGTTAAACTCTGTTTTTTAAATGTTCCCATATTGTTTATCCCTGACGTACCCATCTGTAGGAAAAATTGCTAGGCCTCAAGGGCAAATATTATGCAGTTTACACATGACTGTCTTGTGAGAACCTAGAACCCAAGACTCCAGTCAGAAACAAGAACTCTGTCTGTCACAAATTACCTTCAGTGAATACCATAATAAGGAGATCTCCAAGGGTAATAGCCTTGTTATACTCTACCTGCATTACACTGGAGTCTGGCCAGTTTTTAATTTAATTTACACAAACCTTAATCAGAGACAGCCAAGTTAATGAAGTTACACTGGCTTTATACAGCAATACAAGTAACATCAAAATCAGGTTCTAGATGAGCAATGAAATCTCAGGTAGATATAAAAGAGTGCAAGTTGATTTACTCAAGCTTGAATATCTTTCTTTCTTTTTTCATTATTTTTATCTTTACTGAATATTCATTATTTACTTTTAGGTATCCAGGTATGCAGTTGACTGTACTTTCTAACAGACTACTACTCTTAATTTTTATTCAGACAATCCAGTATGGCTTTGTCTCATTCTCCTTGTGAGGGCCATTTCTCTGTCATTTCTTATGCTTGTATTTTTGACTGGAAGGATTTTGAAATGATATGGTACTTCGATTGTTTTTGTGAGGCATGATTGCGCTTTATTTTCTTCCATTATATTATGCTGAACTCTCACAGCTCCTTGCATCAGTTAGCACTTCCTTTAAAAATAGGAGGTTACCTAGAGTTTAAATAGCCTTCAAATATGCAGCACATTTCTACACAAAGACTGCAAATCAAGGGCCATTTAGTCAAGATGGTTCCCAAAGTATTTAATAGATTAAACTAGTGTAATCAAGAGGTACAGCTCCACAGGTTTTAGAATTACTGATGTTATTATATGATGCTCTTAATGTTGAAAAACTGTGGCAATACAAAGAGCTGAAATATTTGGAGAACACAATTTTCTTTTGGACTAACAAGAAGCTCAGCTACCTTGTTAAACTGAGACACTGAAGAGGGAAAGTGTGGGAAAAGGAAACCAAAGTCTGTTCTTCTCTTTCTCTCCCCATTGATCAGCACCAAATGAAAGTTAAGTGTTTTTGAGAAAAATGGATGGACAGACATCTGGTCAACTTTGAAGCTCTGATGGTGTGGTTACACATGAATTTACAGGTTTGATTACACTGTTAGGTTTTACAGAAGGTTTAAGTTGTACTCCTCAGTACACTGGCATATCACTAAAGAAACACATCAGGAACAAAACCAAGGTGCAGTATATCACACCTAAACCTAAATGTTGATGTGGATAGAAATCATCAGAATTCCTGGAGCAGATGTCAGTCTGGCTTTGTTGCCGGGAGGATAAAAATGATTCTTTGGGATATATACTGCTCCTTCCAAAGAGAAAGAAAGCAAACAAATGTTCTTTGTTCTTCTCTCAAGGAACAGAATAAATGATTAAGAACTGGTGTCAGATAGCATTAACCAGCTTAATAAACATACAAGAAGATCATCCAGCCAGAATGATTTGAAAAGGAACATTTAAATTTAGTTTTCAGGTAACCACTAATTTCACCTTCCTGTTTTGATATGAGTTAATCTTAAAACACCATTATCTGCAAATATTAACCAAGTATCTGGTTAATATAAGCTTTCTACTTAAATAAATGTAAGGGAAAGACCACCACTGACTTTCTTCTGCAAGGACTTCTTTATACTTAAAAGCACAAAAAAAAAAAATCAGAGATACTTCCTGTCCCATCTGTCACTGATTCTCTGTTTATTATGCATAAATTATTTCAACCTAAATTACATCACAGTTTTAACTACTATAACAGATACAGTCCTGCCTGAGGAACTACATGAACTAGAGGAAATTGCAGGAATTAAACGATCTTGAAGAAGTCCTGAGAAAGGTCATGAATGCAAAGACCAGATAAATAAAGTTCTTTTTACTTTCCTCAAACGAACAACATCTAGTGTGAACTAGCACATCAAGCAGATGCAAGTATGAAGCAGACTCTGCGAGAGATGTGTCTGCTTGATGGAGTTCTGAATACATTTGCTGATTTAAAACTCACTGTCATAAAAATCAGCCACTCCCTCAGAAATGCTTATGCTCCTTACATATTGCTTTGAGTCCTTTTTATTACCTCTATTATCTTGTTTTGAGAAAAGCTATATTGCATATGTTTTCAATTCTCTGAAGTTTACATAACAACCATACTATACCTTAAATGTGTCTTTACTGCTGGGATTAAACAGCTGGTGTTTCCCAGATCCCAAAATAATAGGACCAGAAGCTTTGTTTTCTCCGTAAGCGTAAAGGGATACTGTTGCTGTTGTGCCAGCTGTTTCAAAATCCCCAGTGACTACAGTAATGTTCCAGTCTCCTTCTGTAAAGTAAAAAATAAAATCAAAATGCTTGTTTAACTGTTACTTATATGTAGCGATTTACTTGAAAGACATAAACAGAAGCATAGTTTGGCCCAAGGACCCTGACTACAATGTGCTTAAAAGGTGACGAGGAAGAGGCAACAGAAGACTGGCTAAATATTACATCATTCAAACTCATCTCAAGCAATTTGTGGATCAAGGATCTAGTATTGCAGTGTCCTAAAAATCTGGAAATATGAACACAGAGCTCAGTGAAATTTCTAGTGATAACCCTGTTGATCAACATGGAAGAAGACCAATGTTCAGAATTTGGATTATAACAACATGTATAACCAAGAAATGCATCAGGACAAATATCAAACCACCCTAATTAAGTACAATTTCCTCTCATTTTATGTTGATGTGACACACCAACAGAGCTCCATTTGCATGGATGGAGGCATGACATTGAAATCAGCATGAAAAAAAATGAGATTTTGTAGAATATTCTGAAGATGAGGACACATTAGAAAATCATTTTATATAAAGCTCCTTGACACTAAAATGTCATCTCTACTCCCATACAATGTACACAAGTTATTTAAATATTCAAAAGCAGCTTAATATAAATCTTATTTTAAAGAAGAACAATCCATAATTGTAAAATCCATTTCTGCATCGGAAAAGCTGGGATTGCATGCTTCTCCACCCCTCATTGATTGCAGCTTTTGTTTGTGTGAAAGAAGTTCCACTTAGCAACTTAAATTCATTCTGTGCAAGGCAAACAACAAATGAAATACCAGCCCACAGCCATCTTATAAATAAATGCCATAGCATACACTGCAGGTTTATTAATAGAAAGCTGTCTGGTAATGCCTTCCTGATTTAAATCTGTTGTCTGACAGAAACATTTATCTTGGGCCAGCCCCATTATCCCTCAGTTATTTGCCCTGCAAAGATTGAACTGGACCAGGAAGTCTGATCTCCTGTTTTCCAAGTTTTTTGAGGTCTGACCTATGCCTGGTTTTGGAAGGTCGTAGATTTTTAAGTACACACAAATACACATCTGGGAATTTGGAAAGCAGCTGTGGATTATTTGGTCTGACCAATCAAACCTGTCCCAGCTGGTCAAGGGAAGGAATTCTGCTGTAATCTGCCCTGATGAGATCCCATTTGAAAATGATCAGGAGGCTGGAGCACCTCCCCTGTGAAGGTTGTTCATCTTGGAGAAGGTTCCAGGCAGAGCTTATTGAAACCTTTCAGTATTTTAAAAGGGCAAAGAAGGAAAAGCAAAGAGTTTTTACAAGGATATGTAGTGATATGACAAGGGTCAGTGTTTTTAAACTGAAAGAGGGTAGGTTTAGATAAGACAAAAAGAAGAAATATTTTTACTACAAGGACGGTAAGATCTTGGAACAAGTTGCCTGAAGAAGTTGTGGATGCCCCATCTCTGGCAGTGTTCAGGGCCAGGTTGGATGGGACTTTGAGCAACCTGGTCTAGTGGAAGATGTCCTTTTCCGTGTCAGAGGGGTGTACTAGATATCTTTAAAGATCTCTTCCAACTCAAACTGTTCTACAATTCTATAAAGGAAATGAACCGTACAATTTCCACTAAAAGTCAAACTCCAGCTTGTAAGAAATGCTTTGGTGCCTTTGAAAATCTGAATCCTCATAGCTTTCTCTATAGACCCACTTTCTTGAAAAAAGAACTGTAGCACCAGACAACAAAAAGATAAACATCAATTAGAAGAGTGAAAAGCTTCTATACAATGAAACTGAAAACACAGAGCATAAGGCAAGGGCTTCCTGCCCCATAGAAGAGGAACTTGTTTACAAAAAAGTCAACTTCTTCCATTTTCAAACAATATAACATTAATTCCTTAAAGGCAAAGTTCCTTTGGACAATTTGGCTGGAAAATAGGGACAATTGCATTTACAAAGGATTATGAGGGGTGGTGCAGACAAAGGGTAAAATATGACCCACTGCTCTGCTTAAAGATTCAAAAATGAGACAGAAACAAATATTCACTTGAAAGCAGGCAACATTTATTTTCTTTTGGACATGTTCATTATCTGATTAATTGTGCCTCAAGTGTTTTGATGGCCATTTCTATTGTATTATCCCCTCAATGTCTATCTTTTATTAAGCAATGGAGCTGAAAATTGATGCAGTTGCTACTCTTGAGACTGTATCACTAAACTGTTTTGCACACAAGTACCACTCTGAAGGTAAAAAAAGGAATCAAACTTCACCAAAACCATGATTAAAACGAGTTTTGGTTTGAAGTCCTCTGTATTAATTTTGAGGTTTTTTTCTTTTTTTTCTGGAAACAGAATGGAGTTGTGTTTGAAAGACAATGTGGATATAGGAAAATAATCCTAAAATTTCTAATCTGATGCCCGAAATTCTCATTACATTGTATGCATCCAAATGGAAGCTGGAAGCAGTAAGTATTACAAAAACGTAATTCTTGTTGGCATAAAAAGCTGGGGTTGTTCTGATGAGGTAGAATACCGAGAGCTCGTTAATGGCTGAAGAGGAATACACATTAAGGGGAAAAGAATGCAGAAAAATACGTAATGACATGACATTCCTTTAGCATACATGGAGGAAAGGTGCAATCTAACACCAGGTATATCCTTGGGGACATTAGCAAGTGGTTCCTTGCCACAGATAACTTTCTAGATTTATTTTTTTTTCTTTTATAAAACATTACAATACATTAGAAAGTTTGAATTCTCAGAAAAATAATTCTGTTTTTAAAAAAAAATTATAGAATGAAGGTGAGATATAATTAAAAGCTTATGGGAAAAAAGTAGATGAACAAAATCTCAGATGAACCACTAAACCAGGAATTGATGCAGTCCCTCTGGGTGTAGGATACGCAATTTCAAGTCTCCCACTGTTCCATATTTTACCAGCTGTCCCAAACAAGAGGCTATTTGTTGCATGTGCTTTTGGCTGCCTAACTCTGATTAAAACATTTGCTCAGCTTACACAACAGAGCACAAAGACCCAGCTATACCTGCAGAAATGACTAACCAGACTGATTTGAAAGGAGGACCTCCAGGTGCAGGCCATGAGAAAGCAAGGTGTGCAGAACAGCTGAAGCACACAGAGTGATGAACAGACCGAAAATTAGTGCCTGCTGAAAAAAAGCATAGGCAGGAAGAAAAGCAAAGGTACTTTTGATTCAAAATAAAGCTTATAATAGAGTGGGATTTAATATAATTTATAAAATGACTGGGCACACATTTTACTGGTAAGCCCTTGCCATAGGAACATCATTTAAGATAAGGTATTTATGTCTTGATTGATACAAAAAATTTTGAATAAACATTTTCAAACTTTCTCCCAACACCTTCTAAATCATTGTTCGACTTACAGCATGAAGCACTTCTCACAGCTGAGAAATTCTAATGTGTTATTAGGAAATTTAATTTAATCTCTTCTGTTTGCTAGGACAGAAGAGGCAACCTGAACAAATATGAAATCACAAGTAAAACAGAAAGCAGAAGGTTAATGTTGAGAACAAAACTATATATAGCCCAGGAGAGAAAATCATGTTTTAAAACGTTAACTATAAAAAAAGAAATTAAGATAGATCACCAATAAGCACTAGAAGAATAAGAATTTTTCAAGCAAGTGGAGAGAAAATTAATGTTATGGAAAGAAAAATGACAGAATAAAAAGGAAGCATAAACAAAGTTATTTATTGTTTAAATTAAAATGTGAAGCTCAGAGTTTACTAAAATGTATGAATAGTTTGCTGTAATTAATGTTTTAAAATAAATACAAATGGTAACAAATGTGTAAAGGAATTAGTTCTGAAACAGAAACAGTCTTCATTAAAAGAAGAAAACTAGAGCAACATTTACCATTAGCTTCTTGCATTTTCAGATGCTGATTTTTTTTAAACTCTGCCAAAAAAAAAAAATAATCTGTTAATAGAGGATCTATCCTTTAACACTAAAGAAAAGGTTTGAAAGAAGAGATGAAAAAGACATTCAGTGTTTTGGCTGATATAAGAAAACTCTTTCTCATTCATTCCCTCCTTACTTTCTCACTGTAACCTGTAGCAATTATAAAATTTAACGCAAATTGTGTTCTCTCAGAAATATAGGAAAGGAAGCAGCAAAATGCTTAACTTTGATATTTACAGTGTGAATTCAGCCCAGATTTCTTCAGAGGCAAAAAATTACAAATTATTGTCCTTATTTCCATAAAGTTACCAATAAATCTTACCTTGGGGGTACAGCTCAATTTCTGACTGGATTATACCTTGAGACATAAATGGAAGCCACCTAAGAATAAGAAAGAAAATAAGAAAGCAGGTAGGAATCAAATTTTTCTCCACTATATTACCATATAACTGAATGATCCACATGTGATTTTCCTACTGAATACATATAACAGCAAAGGGTCTCTACTTCTAAAATTTTAGTATTAGATTTGATAGGTGTTACAAATTATTTGACTCAACAAAGACTTTCATTTGTGCAAACATAAGAACTTTGTAACTGTAAAATCTGCCTGTATCAATTTAAGAGACTCATGTGACACTACTGTACTTGTTCCTATAGCTAAACAGAAGAATATGGCACAGAACATATCTTCAGTACTATGGATTTAGTGGTAAGTATAATTTGTATGTATCTATTGCACTATTTCTTAAAATCACAGTTCAGTGTTAAAAACAAAGATGGAACCAAATATTGCTCTTCCTTATTCCTCCTACAAATTGAGGTAGATGAGTCTGAAAAAAGATAAAACAAGGCAAACATTTGTTATGTTTCTTAACCGTGTTACTCAAGGCTATGGATAATTTTGAAACCTTTTCATTCAGAGCATGGATTATCAACAGCTTTAGCTTCCTCTTGCTTGGTATAAGATCAGCTGCTTCTTACAGAAAAAAGTGCAGCAAGCTTCTGGGCTGTTGGTTTTTATTTCCTCTGTCCACTTCCACGGACTCTCCAGGAATGACCTAAAGTATTCAGTCTCCTATGAAGACATTGTTGGGATTCCAGTATAAGCTGAGTAAGATAAGTCCAGATCAATTTTGGAGGTTCTAAGGAGGACTGGTTTTAGTCTTGAAAACATTAGCTGGCCAATTCATATAAGAGCCAGTCCCTAAGAAATAAATTTTGTTTCACTAGACAGCTACTTATTTCTATCACTTCTGCTATAACCTGATCACACAGGCATTTTCTGCAATCCTAAATGCTAAAAGGTATCAGTAACTAGTAAATACTGTATAACTGAAATCAAGTAAGAGCTGTCGGATGTTCAGAAACCAATATCAGATTTTCAAGACAGATAAAATGCTTATGCTTCTTTGGATAAATGAGAAGAAAGACAGCACTTTGTTCATATCTTGGATCATAAAACATCTATGTAAAATAAAGCTGTGAAGTTGAAGATTAATAAATTAAAGAGCTTTCTGAAGAGCAAAAACTTTCCTCCCTCTTGAATAGAGCACAGTATTTCAGCTTCACATTTTGCCAACATGCAAGCTATGCCTCAGCTCCAACACTGACCTATTTTAATCCCTTTTCAGTGGCAGTGTTTCCTTGTAGAAAAGTTAGAAAATAAAAAAATCACAACTTTTGTTCCTTTTTGACAGTATCTATCACAGAATAATTGTTGCTGATCAACATTTGATGTGAATTACCACAGAATTAATACAGTAAAGTGTCTGCCATTAATTGTTCCTAAGCCATGTTACCCACTGGAGGACAGCTATGGTACAGAGTTGATTTTTTGTGTTTGAGGTAAGAAGCTGGCCTAACTTCTTTGTAGAACTTCCATTACAAAATTTTACCTATATTTTTTTAGAAAGGTAGCAACTACAGCTAGCAACAACAGCTGGTCTGCATCCAAATCTACCCCAGAGAAATCCTCAGTCTTATATTCCTATTTAAAAAATATGTTACTGATAGAAGAAAAATCTCAGTTTTAGAGTTTTATCAAGGTGACATAGCATCTTTATTCCTGTTTCTGAGGATGTGACACCAAGAGCAGCAAGAAGGTTATATAACAAATTCATTAAAATTCAGACAAAATAACTAGGCAACCTGCATTTATTAAATATTATTAATAAAATATTATTTTTCTAGTGCCTTGTCACATAGTCATATTGTTTCTCTACACTTTTTTCATTTCGCTTAAATGATGCATATACCCATGAGATAGACTGCAAAGTGGGAATTCTAAATGTAGGATTACCATATTTCTCCAGACGTGCAAAATTCAGTATTTGTCAATTGACTTTTAAGATGCTCATTTATTAATCTAAATGGAACAACCACAACATAATTCTGGGTATCACATTTGTCTCTCTAGGTGTGCTGTTGTTCATACAGAGAGCAAATACTAGTTCTGCATGGCAGATCTGTTTTCTTTCCCATTTAGAAATACACTTAATTTAGAACCTTTCTGTGTGCTTTATCTTTCCTTCCTGAAAGGTAGGTCACACTTACAGCACTGATCCTGATAAGGCTGCAATCTAGTGGCATGGACACCATAGAAGCATTTAACCTTTGCTGTGGACCATACAGCACATTAACTCAAGCAATCTGTTCTAGAACAACACGTTATGCATTTAATAACTGCAAAATGATCCAAAACTGCAAAATAATCCAAAGTTGTCCTTCCCCGAAAACTTCACATTTAATATAGTGACCAGCATAACACTTTTAGTAATATATGCTGAAAAGTATTTGAGAATATTGTTGTAAAAACTACCTTTCACAATTGAAAACATATTCTGAGTTGGTGGAGGCTTCTCTGACAACAACTTTATCACAGTACCAGTAGTGGGACTTGGTGTCAGCCTCACAGCGCAACAGCACCTTCTGCAGCTTCCCAAGAGATACAGCTTCCACTTCAAAAACATTGACCTGGAAGACAGAGGAGACAGCACTCTGCAATTTGCCGCTACTAAGGCAGCCTGAAAACTGAAGTGTTTTGAAAGCCTGATTAACTCTCGTAATGTCCAGATTCCCATTGGTTTTAATGACAGCTGGACTGTATTCGAACAGTTAGGATCTGAAAAGCTAAATGTCATTTGATGATGTATCAGAGTAAATGAGAAATCACAACTAAAGTCAGGTTGTAGCAATAATCCCAAATAAATTGTTTTTTTCAGCCATCTTCCAAAACACTGCACACAACCCTTCAATATTGTTTCAATACCTTGCCATTTCCATTGCTCTTCTTTAAGTAAGAATGAGTTAAAGCTCTTATTTTCCTTGCTGATATTTATTTGAAACAGACTTTCTCATCCTTTTCTCTTTTTTGATCTCACCTCCTCTATTTACATTTTATTCTGCTGGAGGAAAGTGAAATCTGACATACCACTTTCCCCTTGTTATCCATTCAGGTTTGTGCTTACAGTTGGAAAAGATTGTTTTCATAGGAGCATGAAGCTGATCAGGTTCAGGTTGATAATTTTCTGTGACAGTAAGAAGTATACAGCTTTCTCTCTCTGAATGTAATGGTCCAGATCACTCTTCTCAGTAAAAAGAAAATGAAGGAAAGAAGTACACTGGAAAATTCATATCTATAAAGTACTCAGTCCTTGGCAAATGGCAGAATTGAGACTGCCTATGCAACATTACTTATCCCTTGTGTATAGGTAATATATGATCACAAGCTATCCTCTCTGAAAGATTCCTGCTTCAATGTGTGCACATGAGGACTGCAGATTTTCAGTATTTCTTTTTATCTTCATTATCTTTATGACTCTATGCATTATTTACAGCAACCACCCAAAGAGCTCAGTGAAACAGAGCTGATTTCCCCAGTGACTTCACCTTTGAACTTCTTCAAAGCACCCCAGTTTTCTAAAAATGTTAAATGGCTTGGGTTTGGGTTTTTTTTTTTTTTTGAAAGGCCATCTGCATAATATATCGATTCACCTATACAGTTAAAGCACAGAGTTTATTGCTAAAAGCTGCCAAAGATGCAAATTGGTTTGGGTGCTCAACTCAGAAACAGAGGGGTGAATTTATTGACATTTCAAAAAGCTTACTAGGTGCAGAGCAGAATTCTATTTGAACAAATCTCAGTTACAGCTATGTCTCTTCAGAAAAATTAAACTGGTAATTCAGCAAAAGGTAAACATTAAAAAAGTGGTCACAGAGCAAAGCTTTATTTTAAGTGATCTGCCCAATATAATGTAGAATATCTGGGGCAGGGATGAAATCAAGTTGTTCAAGTCAGCACTCAACTGCCTCTGCCATAAAATGATATATCCCAGTCCCTGTTCTGCTGCTCTAAACAAACCACTGTCTCATTCACCCATTTCCATAACAAAGTGCACTTTGAATCATTCCTCTTATCCCCCGTATAAATAATTTGCTGAATTTACTATCAATTTGGTGAGAATAATGCCCCCCAGAAAATTTCTCTTAAATTCTGAATTTTAATTTGAATAGAACTTTATCTTTCATGCATTAGTAATGGCATAAAATATAGATTTTAAAATAGTATAGATACATTTGAAGTTTCCCAGTGGGTTATTACTATTCTTAGAGTTTTAGAGACTGCTTTTTATTTTGTAATTAAGTGTTCCAATAACAGCTTGATACCCTTGGTTATACATACAAGTGTTAATCCTCAGTAGTTCACAAAGAAAGAAAGAGGCTTGACAGAAGGTCACAAGAAGGCTACTGGCAGAGTTAACATTCAATTCAGTAGCTCCTGAAATTCAACCATACTGCAGAAAATCAGGCTGATATATATTTTACTTATGGAGGAGCTAGGGCTTAATTAATTGAAAGAAAAATTACTTCAGATCTCTCCTATATTAATCACAATGCTACACTATTAAACATTACAAGAAATAATAACAAACTAAGATCTGACATCATGGAACAATTTCTGTACACATATTTGGAGCCAGCTGTAACTCATCATACCTTGAAAGGATATGTTTTAAATTCATAGGCAGCTCTTCTCATCATCCTGAGATGGAGACCTCAAATAATTTTTCTTTCCCTTTTCTTGCCTGTGTTTTTACTCATTCTAGACATTCCTGGATCAGTACAAGACTATTTTCCTTAGTTCTTTATTTTGATAAACTTCTGTGATCTTTTTTTTTTTATTAGGAACCTGTATAAGTTTATATATTAGGAACCTGTATAAGACCTGTATAAGTTACTTAATTATGTTTCTCTGGTTAAGCAAATTGTCTTTCAGACTTACCCTTCTTCTCTGAAATGTCACTGGCATGCCAGTTTTATGCAGAAGTCTCAGACCAGAATCTCCTCTTTTTCCATAGATACACAAATAAACTGCAGAATCTGTATCAGCTTGCTCCAAGTCTCCAGTGTAGATGTAAACATGGTATAAAACAACTTCCAAAAATAACCAAAAGAAGAAAATGCAAGTTACTTGTAATCACAATTGGTTTTACTTACTATCATAGCTTAGTGAAAACAATGCCAACAAGTCTGATTTGAAATTAAGTTTCTGGAATTTACTCCAGAAATCAGTCCAACAATCTGCTTCTAAGACTGCTAAGACCACAATTCAGATGTCATTAATACTGAAAACCAGGTAATCAGTATATACATAACTGTACACACATACCTGGATAGATAGGTTTTCCAGCTTCCACTACTGGAAGTTCACAGAGAAATTTTCTGCTATCACAATTCTTTGATAACCTTGTGTTTGCTGGAAAATTCAGTGTTTTCTTGCTCTTTAGATGTTGCAGTGTCACCTGGAGAAGAAGTAATTCCACCTATGACTCAGTTTGCTCTTTTCAGTGCCATGCATCTCGACAGCAAAACACATTTTTGTGTGCCTTTTTTTCTATCTCAGAAAACAATTACACAAATTGCAGTATAAAAATATATTTATTTTGGCCACCACTTGGCAATAAACAAATCTGTAACTTCAATTTGTGAGATTGCCATTAGAAATGCTACCAAGTCTGATTTCTGTCCATGAACCATCTCTGTGTAACGCTGCCCGGAGTACTGAAGACTGAAAATCTTCTGGTAGGTGATGTTAGGTCAGACTGAACTTTTGGAAGATGTGAAGAGATTGATACATTCTTTATTTTAAAATGAAAACAGGATGAAACTCTTCATCTACATCTTTCTGAAATTTGGCAAGTAGAGGATATGTTGGAATCTTAAATCAATTTGTGTTATATTTGGCTCTCTTCCACAGACAAAAAGACAACCTGTGTACCGCCACCCTCTATATATTCCTCTGAAGATGGTTAGAAATCAAATTCTCAAGTTATTTGCCTATGTACATTTCAATAGCTGTTTTACTTGTTTCCTATAACTAAAAGTCTTTACTCTCTTCCATGAAAACAGTTTTTATTGGTCTTGAATTGCAACAATGTTTACTAAAGGTTTTTTCCACAGGCCTCCACTATGAAAAGGAAATCAGTGCCAAAAATTATCTTTCTGCAATTGTGCTTCCAGTGTGCATATAATATGCATAAGTCTTGGAAACAAAATCATGAAAACAAGTATTTACATCCAAGTTCTAACACTTGGGAAATCAGGGCAATAGATACCTTTATCTCACTTTTCCAATAACATGTTATTTCAAGTAAAAGGAACACTGCTTTTAACACCAAAGCATGTATTTATTCTAATATGAAATACTTTGGCAGCACTGATTCCTAATCTCTAATATTTATTGGCAGAGCTCCCCCTGCTGATTCATAACAATTGCAAATATTAACTGCTTTGTCACAAAAACACAGCTCTCAACGTGATTTCTTTTTCTCTGTGAAAAGAAATATTTGAAATCCCAGGCTTACCCTATGAAATTTGGAGCAAAATATTAAAGAAATATTTTGTAATCACCAGGCTGGAAAGTAGGACTTCTGCAATCATTTGAGCAAACTGAAATATTTATACTTACATTCAATTTTGGTATAGTTACAGATAAGATCTTTGTGTTGATGTAAAAATCTGTTATTACTGTCTAATTCTGATTGTCTAAATCAGGCTTTTTAAGATTACTCAAATGACAAAAAATAAACTTGTTTCCTTTACAGATTCAAAGTAAGAAAGAGAAAAGAATACTTATCCCAGTTACGAAATAAATTTTACATGGGTGTCAGTGTTAATAAGAATTTTGCATAAATTAAATATGGTGAGCATCCCTAAATAACACGAGAAAAATAGAGCTAAAAGAAAACAGAGATGAAGAATTAATTCACCAAATTGAAAAAAATCAGCAGCTTTTTTTTTCCCCTGAAAATGGTCATAATTGTGAGCTATGGCAGGGTCCATTAGGAGTTACTTAGCCTATTCTGAAGCAAATCTTGCACATTCCTTGCACATAGTTGTCATGGAGTAATTTCTGCATCATTTTTAATCTTTCAGAACTGGAATTTATAGCTAAAATAGACACTGAAGAGTACGGACAAGCTTTAAGAAAGTAAAACTTGGTTGAGCCCAGCAATTCAATAGAATTGATGTCTGCATGAATAAGGAATAATTGCAAAATAATCATACATAGTTCTACCTCTTAGGAGATGGACTGTGTCAGTGTTTTTGTCATCTCTAAAGCAATCTAAGAACACAAAGCACTAAGAACTTATCTCAATCAGCATTTATTGATTCATGAGGCTATGGCTTTATGAATAGGTGGGCCTTTAGTTCACATAAAAATTATTAAAATGAGAAAAAAATCACCATAAAAAAAATCTTACCCTTTGTAAGTTCCACTCTGATTGTTCATTTGGTAATCCATCAAATTCAATTCTTATCTTATAGATTTTCCCAATGCTTTTTATTTCAACCTGAATAAAGTCAGAGCAGTATAATATATAACAACATAAAATTACATATTTATCTTTGCATTGGTTAGAGATTTCTCTGAACCATTGTAGTATCTGAGTGCACAGGAACAACACGCAATATTTGATTGGCAGATTTTGGGTTACAGGATCCAGAAAAGAGACGCTTATGTTTTGTCTAAGCAGATTTCTGTCTGAGACCCAGTTTGACCAGATCATAGCCTAACTGAACCACAGTGCTTGCCAGGAAAATGATTTGGCAGATATTTGAAGTCTTCAAAGTTTGAAGAGTACAAAAAAGTCGGTGAGGGTCATTCATGAGAGCAATGAGGAATAGAAAATTATATCCTTTAAACTACGGTCACAAATCTTTCATAATGCAGCACAATAATACGACCACAAACCCTAGTAAGTCAAAATGAATGATATAAAAAGAGTAAACTCCCAAAAGCTGGCAGAACATCTGCAGAACTTTGGAAGTCACCGATACTATCTTCTCTTTCTGACTACGATTTGCATTCATTTGCACTTTCTTTGCACTTTGAAGCATTATATGTGCTCTTATGAAAACTAATATAGAGTAGCAAGTCTATCTTCAAAACTTCAAATGAACGCCCACTCATGTGGGGTTCATTTGAAGTTTAACCATTATTTAAAGCAAACACTACACTGGTAGGCACTGCTACAAAAGGAAAAGTGTGTTATCGTGCTGTTTCTCAAATAATTATTCTCTTCAGAAAAGGTTGGTAACAGCCTATTCCTCTCCACCATTTACATGCAAAAAGCTATTTACATTGTACAAAAATTATTTTCATTCTCTTAGAAACTCGTACTAGTACATTATCAACTCAGTCTTTATCTTCACCGATAAAAAGAGTTCTTCTCTTTTCAGAGGTCAGAATTACCTCATTTCCTATATCAGCTTTTGGCTTTTTGCACTTTTGTATAATAAATTTTCATGTTAGAGTCACAGCATTGCCCCGCTTTAGTCAAAGATTTCTAAAAGCAAACAACTTTTAACTTTGATTTCCTGAACATTGAAATGCATATCAAAATCTCTCAGTGGTTGTTTGAGAAAGAATTTGTGGGTTTAACACCTGTTATTTGTATTGGTATAGTTGCTACATCAACTTGAATTTAATTAACAAAATTTCATTAACAAAACAAATGCAACACTGATGTGACAATATATTCGCTGCCTTTACCACTGGATTAAAAAATTAACTTTGCTTTGCTCTGTCAAGTCAGATTCTGATACCCTTGCTTATGCTGCATAATATTTCTCTCTAAAAGAAGTCTTATTAGAGGTGACATGGAGACTTTGGGATTAAAGCAGTAGTAAAGTGAGGGTATATATTCAGCCTGACTGAAAAAACAGCTATTGTCTTTTCCCCCATTTCACAAAAAACCACACTTCTCAGTAATATGGAATATGGTCTTCTCATTTACAGAGCAGGTGTTCACTGAATATACAATGCTATCATGTTGTCTGTTTGTTCTAATGACTCCCTCTTTAGACTTACATGATAATTTAGAGTTACATGATAATTTCATATATCAACACAAAACAAAATATAGTGGACTTTGACAGAATGCAAAGAGCGAATTCTGCCTAAAACAAGTAGAGTTCTTCCAGAAAAAAACACTCTGGTAACCTTGATTTTTCTCACACACTGTCTTAGGGAGGATTAGGCAGGGAATGACTACTCACATGGGTAAGGTAAGAAAGGGAAGGCCATATACGAATGGTTTTCATTTCTCAAGATAATTCTACTCAAGTTTTTCTTAGTTGGGCATATTGCTGATAAAGTAAAATGTTAAAGAACTTTAAACTGATTCCAAATTGTCTTATTACAGCCTTTCAGAAGCTGCTTTCTTACTAGAGCTCTTGGCCAGAGCTACGATTAAGTTGTCTATGTTAAAAGTTAAAATTTGGTATCCTCTGCTCCAGAATATATCACCGAAAACATACCAAGTTTATGGAAATGGTAAGAAGAAGATGTAAATTTTTTATGTCTTACATTCCTATCCTCATTTCAAGACCTATCCTGTTAAACAGGTACAGGATTAAGTTTAAAGGGAAAAAATAGAAGAAAGAGCTCTTACTCTTGGACCTTTTTTCTCTTTATCTACTGCAGACTAAAGAGCAAAAAGCACTTCAGTGACACTTGCTGTTTCCTGTCTGAAAGCAATAGTGTCAGGGTGATGTAAGGAATCATAGTAGTAGCTCTAGGTGCTGAAAGAAAAATTCTGCTCTCTCACAAGATCAATATCTGCAGCACACAGCCATAATGGACCATATCTATTTTAGAGAAGAGAAATTGGTCCATCTCTTCAGAATGTATGGATTAACTTTGCAAACATGCCATTACCCAAAATTGCTTATAAATTATTCACTAATTAGGAGAACGAGATTCTCTGTGGATCATAATATATAGATTATATGCTCAGAAAATGAACTTTATGATAGGTTATCTTCCTGCCTATGCCCTATTCATAGAGAGTATTATTATTAATATTATTGACATTAACAATCTTGGGTTGTGCCAAGTTTGTATTAGAGGAGTTGAGGAGTGCAGAAAAAAAAATGTGAAGAATATAACTTCTGCTTTAGTTAGCTGAGGACAGCAATCTTACATGTATCTCAGACAGAAAGATCTAAGTAAAACATAAATTTTAATGCCTTTGGTAATTTCCTTTCAGCCTACCTAGACATAATTTCCTTATTATAATAGAGGTGGGGTTATTCTTATATAATAGCATAAACCCTGTATTTTCATGACATGATTATATGTAGTTTTTATTGGACTCTTAGTTATTCCATAGGTAAATCTGACACTTCAGTCATTTATAATATGGCAGCTCTAAAAAGGGTTTTCTTCCTTATTTGAACCAGTTCCACTGTATACATTTTATAGTATGCTTTGAAAACTGTATACCTGAAGATTTAATTACTAAAGATCCCCAAACGATATGCTAGTCTTACATCAGACATGGTTTGTTCTAGAAATTAAGTTTTTAAAGCTAGTTTCAAATTAATTACCTTAAAGAAATCAATTTACTCCTGCAGTTGTCTCCTTTGGCCTGCTATATGAGAGAGAGGGTTTAAAAGAAAGTGTATTTCTTCTGTTGCTTACCATATATAACAAGCTGATTTAATATAGAATTCATGAACATTCGATACAG